AGTGTGTGACGCGGAACAAATCACTTAATCTTTCTAGGGCTTAGTTTTTCTATAGGCGAAATGATGGTTCTAGAGTTCTTGCCAGCTTTTAATTTCCATGGTTCCAAAATTATACAAAGTCAAGTCTACAATTCTGTTCCACAGACTGTGAGCCTAATGCTGCCCTCGTGTGGTAGGTACAGTGATAGATGTGCATTTTTAAGTATGGTTGAGGGGGGAAAAAACCAACAGAGCCAACTAATTGAAGACAGATGTGCAGTCAAAAAGACACTACCAGGTTTAATTAAGGCTAGCCACAGTGGAGTAATAAAACAAAATGATGTCTAACTATTTCCCATCTGAAGAAAATGAAGAGGTCAAAAAATAATTTAAAACAGATTGAATTGCCTCACAGAAGGTAAAATGTGTTTACTTGAAATGCCCCCTCAATAATTGAGGACAGAAATGATTTAACACTCTAGGATTTATTCCTCTAGGGTACAGGAACCCTCTCTGCGGGAGTGGGCTTATTCCATCATATATTTATGAGATTACATTCTTTCTCCTCGTTGGTACTTGATAGTACAAATAGGAATTAAAAAAGAAAGAAGACACAAAAATGTAGGCTTCCAAAATGCATTTTATTATTAAGTAAACCTCAGTTCCTCATAAAAGAAACACTTCTCATGTGCAATACACAGGCACATGATATATTCAAGCATAATAGGTCCATGATCTCTGAAACTCTTATTTAAAGAGAATAAAGCAAAGGTAGAATAGTTTTAAATTACTAATTTGGAATCATGAGTCTGTTGAAAGTCATATTTAGTTTTAATGTTTTAAAATATTATTTTAAATATTATTATATTTATATTTAAATATATTAAATATAAACCAGAGTTCACCAGTTGTCTGTACATCCAGATTTGGAACCAGCACAAATACTAATGTCTGTAAGAATACCCTCTTGTTCTCCCATGGAATGTGACTATACATATTATTTCTTACTATCATTCCAATTTAAATACATTTATAAAATATCCATGGTCTGTTAGGAGTTTTTTAAATTCACAAAACTATGCACTCCCATGTTTAGTGTGTTATCATTAAATATTCCTTTCAGTTAAACCGATTTTGGAGGGATTGGGAAAAAATAAAACACCTAGTTGAGTGTTCACATTTTTCTCTACCATATGACAGATTAAAGTTGCATCTCTGTTTTTAAAACTCAAAAAAAAAAAATTGCATTGCCCCAAGTTTCCTTGACAAAACATGGAGGAAAAAAAATAACCCTCCCACATCAAGTGCTGTTAATGAGAGATTTATGATTTGCATAATGCACACAGCCAGATGAAAAGTAAAATATCTACTTAATCATTCGGATGTTTGAGTTGTGTTGTTAAGGGAAACAATTATTAATTTTATTATTATTTCATTAAATATGGCTTGAGCATAGTTCCAGGATAAGCTTTTGAGAAGGCTATGGTGGAGAAAACACAGGCCCGGCTTCCAACAGCAACATGAATGTGACAACCACAGCCAAAGATAGAAAGTTGTCATTGCAGAAACAGACCTGTGATCTTGTGCTAGGAGAGTACGGATATAGAAAAGCTCGCTTCTGAGTGGAAAGATGAGGAAAATACACAGAGCAGGTGCAATCGGAGCTGGGCCTTTACGGACAAGTACAATTTCGATATGAGAAAGTGACAGGTGCAGAGAAAGGCATGACAAAATCAGAAGAACGGGCCCAGCTACAGCTCAGGAGAAAAAAAAAAGCCAAACCAAAGGGAGCCAGTGTGAGCGGTCTAAGTGGGCTTCCGTGAAAAGTGTATAAAGGAGAATGACAGGAGATACATCTGGAAAGAAGCAGATGGTTAAGGACTTTGAGAGGCAAAGTAAAGAATGTGACCAAAATCATGAGATGCCTTGAAATTACTTTGAGATCTAGCCTTGGATATCAAGTTGTAAAAGCACTTTATTCATTAACGTGTTGGAGATAATGCAGGTTTAGCTCAATGTAAGAGAATTGACACGTTCTTATTTGGAGACTGTTTCAAGAGAAAAAAATTAGTAAATATACGCATTGTTTCAAGCATCTGATAAAGAACTCTTAAAATACTTGGGTTTTTAGTCCCAGTTTATCAAAACCTCTGCATTTCTGTATGTTTAATTGCATTTTATGCTATGTAGCTATAGCCCAGTAAAAAGCAAAGGTCTCTTCTACATTTTTAGTTGAATTCATTTTTAGAAACTACCAGACATCAGGCTCTCTTTACCCTACACTTCCATACCAGATTAGGAAAAAAAAAAAATATATCAAGCACCAGATGTTTTGGTAAGATGATGGCAAACATCTCCATTTATGTGAATTGTTCACCTAACTTCTAACTGCCCGAAGTTTCTTTAGACTCAAATTTAACACATAATTTTGTTTTCCAAATATGTTAGGTAGACTTAGACTTATTCCAATATATGTATATGTTCTCTAGATTTGGTTTTCTTTCTTTTTATGTTTCTTATAAACTATTATTTGTTTGCATTTAAGTTGACAGCACTTGTATAGACTTTCCAAATGAGATTTCTATTCACCTAGACAAGATGAAAAGCTCTCCTTAAATTTATTTCTACCCCTGTTCCTTTCTTCTTGTTATATTGTTTTACATTCTGCACACATCTCAGATTTCCCAGAAGAGAAATAGAACTAGAAATTGCATCAGGTAAAATCAAAGTTCACATAGAAAAGATTGAATATTTTGAAATTTAAATAAGACAGCTCTGCTACAATAGCTATTTTGGTGCATTGCGAGATGGATCTTGGTTGAAAATTGTTTTAATCTAGTAAAAATAAGTTGATTTAAAAATTAGCATGTATTAATTAAGGTTTGTTTTTGAAAGTAGTATATTGAGATTTTCCAGTTGATGGTATTAAAGTGTTTCATTCAATATCATACTAAAAAATATTAACAATATTGTTGATTAGATTACATAATGCCAATCAAAAAATGTGGCAGCGTTCCTTTATTTACAACCAGTTGACTAATCTGACTCATTATGTGTTTGATTATACAGTTTAATTTACTTTACAAATGTTCATAATTTATATCATAGTCATATATGATAGTCATTTATATTTTTTAAGTTATCCTTTTAAAAAGTCCTTAAGTTAGCACTAACTACACCATCTGGGTTTCTCCTATATAGAAAATATCAAACATTATAACTATCGTTCTGTCTCCTCAAATCTACTCTGGGTTGCTAGTAATTGATCGGTGACCGGTTATTTAACAATATTCAAGCCTTTTTCTAAATAGCTAGTCCCAACTTACAGATACCTCCTGTTATTTCCCAACATTTCTTCCTTATTTCTCTATTCTGAGAAAGTGATCTTGCTATCACTAGAATAGATATTATAACAAGTCCTGGTGGCTTTAGAGAATCTGTTGTCCCAAAAAGGAAAAAGTGGAGAAGTGGGGAAAAACCCAAACTTTTGTGAGACTTGATCCCAATTATCCTGATGGTGGATTTCCTGTCCTCAAGTGGTTTCCCTCACAATGTCTGTAGTTTTCCCTTCATTTGGATGTACTGGTTTTATTAAAATTCCACCAGATTAAGAGTCATTGTGTTTGTATACATCTCTTTAAGGAAAATGTAGATATCTTAGTGTCATTCAATGATTATCAATGATTCGCCCGCAGTGTGAATCTATCCAACTGCTTAAGAAACTCCTGATTGAACACAGGTGTTTTTATAGAAGAGAGAGACTCGAAGTATTTTTGTATCCTAGAACATGTCTAGAATTGGAAAGAAAATTGAAGCAAATTCATTATCAGGGGCTAGGTATGCTCAAAGGCACTAGGGAGCAGTGATTGACAGGAAAACCTTGCAGAAGAGGTTGGGGGTCTGACAAATAAAATCACAAGATGAGGAAGAGAAAGTAACTGAGCTCCTGCTTTATCTCTTTATCTCACTCCTCATGGTCACAATCTTATGAGTTGAAGTATGCATACTGAACCCATTATCTTCAAATGCAAAAGCTGAGACTGTTTAGATTTACTCTAGAATGAGCTAGGATTCCAAATCCTGTCAGTATGATCAAAGCTCATGCCTTTGAATTCTGACCATGTGGCAGAAAACATAATAATAATTTTTAAAATTTGCCTAGAGAAGCTTCTCTCCACAAAAAGAAGAGGAAACACTTGCCTTCTCTTCTGTTTTTTGCATCAAATGTTCCCCCCAAATCTCCTCTGATCTAGAACTCCACTAACAATATTAGTACTGTATTCCTACTGCATGAAACAACACAAAATTACAATGTTTCTATGGGAATATGGATTGCTTTATCCAAAAGAATCAAACTTAAGGAATTACTGAAACAAGTCCCAATCACAGATGAAGAAATGCCAAAGGGGAAGCAAAGATCTTCAAATTTAAAAACTTGCTGGAGATAGTTGTTACATACAAACAAGCACAGAATTCTTCAATCACTTCTTGAAATCATCTGTTCTACTTTACATCTTCACTTCTCAGGAGAAAAACAGATTGTCGGTTAATATGGAGAGTAATTAAGAAATTTTCCCTTATCCCACTATTTCTCTCTACCCAAGTCTTTCTAAACTCCTTTCTCCATGAAATAGCCCAAATTCATATTTGTTTGTCCTTATTGTAATACTGTACAAACAAACCACAAAGAGAACCAGTAATAATGATAATAGTAATAGACTGGTTATATACTATTTAACTCAGTCTAAAAATCTGATGATTTCACCCTAGAAACAATTGTGTTCTTTTTTTTTTTTTTTTTTTTTACCTCTATGTCCAATAAAAATAACCAAGTCCTTAGTGTTACCACAGCACCTTATTGGTTAAGGAAAAGAAAATGACAGGCAGATTAAGACATGTGGAGTTCTTGCTAGAGCTGTTTCATTATCCATGTAAATGAAGAAAACGTAGAATGATGCCTTTGGAGATCACTGGGAGTTTCATTGATTGACTGTGGTGTTGACTCTTCCCACACCATGCAGCAAAGCCTGCCAATCACCGGCCTGCAGAAAGTTCCGTGTCCACCGGCTCCTCCGGCAGCGGGTATAGCGTGGACAGTGAAGGAAGCAGCAACACTGCAGGGGAGACCAATCTATTTCCTATTCCACGGATGTAAGTGTGGGGGGTTTTCTTTTTCTCTTTTTTTTTTTTTTCCCACTACAAAGTTACAACATGAGTAAGCTTTGCTTAACACCTAACAGGAAATAACTAGATAATTATCCAGTTCTGACTCATTGTCCCTGAAGCAATTCAACTGTGTATGCCTCCATAGAAAATAGACTGTTGGGGAAAGATTGGGTTAATTTAGCCAGTTCTGAGGATGAACGCTGGTCACTTCCAGGACTATGTAATCAGTGCAATCTGTATTTAATAGAAAAACTGCTACGATAATAACTAAATGAAGTTCAGCAGCAGTAGTCCCTTGATGCGGTAATCACATAATGATCAAACACAAATATTATTGGTGTTTGAGATAAACTTAGATTAATTTACTTTGAATCAGGAGAGATTTAAACATATTTAAAGAGCTCATATATCGTTTTTGAAATAGATAACACATTGGGCTCCTCAAGAGGCTTTTCAGTAATCTTTCCACAATTAAAAAGGAAGATTTTGAAGTGTTTCCATATTTTCCACAACAAATATCAAGTAATACAGGGTCCCCAGTACATAATCTTAGAATAAAGTTCATTGGTAATATGTTAAGCCTCAAGAAAATAATATTGCAGATCGAATGCAGAACGAAAGCAGATTGTGTTTAGGATGTGTTAGAATGGGCTTAGCCATGTTGGTGGCAAAAGTTAGCAGCATCCAAGATACATATGTTGGTTATGTCTGTTCCAGTATCGAAATCTAGACTTTCCAACCTTTCCTTCTCCTCCCAAGGAACTAGTTTTCCAGGTTTTGAAAAACGTCATTGGACCATCCATCTCCAGGATCTAGGTCAGGGCGAATCTAGCCTTGCAAGGTCTGTGAGCTAATTTGGCCTTTGCATTTTTAAATATTTGGGGGCAAAAAAAATACCAGAAGAATCGCATTTTGTGAGACATAAAAATTATATGAAACTGAAATTTCAGTGTCCATAAAAGAAGTTTTATTGGAAGCCACACCCACTTGCTTTTGTGTTGCCTAATGTTACTTCTGCCCTATAGGGGCAGACCTGAGTACAGGACCATTCAAACCGTCTCCTATCTGGCTCCCTACCGAGTTTGCAGACCCCTGATCTGGGCTCTTCTTAAAGGATCTTCTTCATTTTCTCCAGTGTTGAGTGAAGCCATTTCTGGGAGTGGAATTCTATTTCTCTTTGTTTTAGTGTCAAGGTTTTTATAAACCTTTCCTTCTATCGTCCAGAATACTCCCAATATTTATATAATGGCTCAGATTACAAAAGCAAAATAATGGGGAAAAGGGGTTTGTACAGTGAAAAATGTATTTATATTTTATGATTTTCAAGTTATGTTTTTCCTACTTAAATTGTTACATTATTGGATCACCTGCCCATCTTTTTCTTTTCTTAAGACTTAGGCTATGGATTCAATAGTTATTTATATTTAATCAGTTCTCTTTTATTGGACATTACTTCTAAAAGGAGTCTGATCTCATTACTCCTCTTTCTCTGATGATCTTCTATGAAGAGAATTTGAGCAAATTCATTATATTTCTCTCTCTAGACTGTGAATATCATATGAGTTTGTGATTTTTTTTAACCACACATCACTTAATATCCTTCCAATTTATCCATACCTTTCAAATAATTTAACACTGATGATAAAGATACAACTTCCAGAGAAAAAGCACTTTATTTCCTCAATATCTGAATATCTGAAGTAGAACTAGATTATGGATTTTTTACATACATACCACATTCCAATTTTGTTTTTCCCATTTTTCTCAAAACCTTTCAAAACTGCCTCGGACACACCATTGTTTTGTCATCTGAGCACAAAGAAAATTCTCTTTTCTAAAGCAGTATTTGGTATTTCTTTTATATGCCCTTTTGTGTCTAACACAATTATTGCTTAGGCTAACATAAGAGTTCAATAACTGTTTGGTGATTGATTAACAAATATAAATTACAAACTGTGTAGTCCACATGTTCTGAGCTGAAGGTTATCTCCCGGGAATTCAGAAAAATTGCATCCTTCACATAACCCACAGTCAAGTTTCCTTCGTATTTTATTTAGCTTCACGATGCTGCAGAAGTACCTGTAAGATCTTAGAAATGCCTCTCATACACATTTTCCCTGTGCACCTAACGTTAAAATCAGTTTTCATTAGAAACAAAGACTGCAGCTGAATATCAGATACCATTAAAATTCGAAACCTAGGATGTGAGATCAAATAAAAAATTACCCAAATTTTACTATTACTAAAAATTATAATTATTTTGTTAAAATTTGACATATATAGAAGAGTAATTTTTCAGTATTCTCATCTGTTAGATGAACACTCCTAAAATGATTTTCCTTTTCATCTGAGTTTGACTCAGTAACAAGACGTTTGGTTCCCTCTGTTAGTATTGCTCACGGTAAGATTGCTACTGAGTTATGAAGATTTTCTCTCGTCTGATCAGAACAGAGCAAATTTTTTTAAAATTTATCATCTACTTGTATTGAATCTCATTGAAGCAATTACACAAATTGAAGTTCCTTTTATTGCTTAATCAAGAATTTTTTGGCACATATTCAGATGCAGACTGTATCTATATGTATATAAGTATATATATGATTTCTAACATTTTTTCATGTCCTTCACACTTGATAAAAATTTGTGTTTAAACCTTTGACCTAGAATTGTCATAATGGAACAATGTAATGGGTTTCAAGATAAAATAATTTCTGAGTTTATATCTATTCCTCTTTCATTATGTGCAGAACCATCTCTATAGAATGGTAGGATCTTTAGAGCAGTTTTCAAGTGAGATGTAATTGAATTCTTAAGAAAGAAATACGATCACATTCCCAGCAAATTCAGCAAACCAAATATTTTTGTGAAAGTAAGAATTAATTGCGAGCAAATCCTGCTGTGTTAGAATTATTGTCTAGAAAGTATAGTATCGAGTTCTTTTGTTCAAACACCCTTTTTAAAACTTAGGTGTTTTTATTTCATCGTTTGAGAACATCTTATATAAGTATGTATAAAGGCAATTCCAAAATCTTTTCTATGCCACGTAGCTTTTTCTCTTACTGAAAAAATAAGAAGTAGCCTATAGTGTTTGGGCTGTTACATTGTCAATATTCTGAACACACAGTGCTCAGAGTATCATGAATTCTTCATCAATTTGGCCTTCCAGAAAGTTCGAGGCCGAAACTAAAAGAGTAGAAGACTGTGGCTGAATTCTAAAGCCAAAATCATGTGCATACCTACCTATTAATATTTTCTATTTATTGAATTTTATGATGTGTCAGGCACTGTGTTAAGTACTGTTTTCCACGTGATTTTGTCCTACCCAAAAGCTAGCTAGTGTTACTATCTTTTTATTACAAAAGGAGAAATAGATTCACCAGATTAAGTAGATTTGCCTTAGATTACACGTAACATGAAATAGTGAAGCCAGGGGCAGAGACCAGGAGGCCTGACTTCAAAAGCTAACACGCTATGCACAGTTGAAAACAGCGACAGGATCTGAAAGTCACTAAGTGAAATAAAAATCTGTGTTATTACAATATTATTCTTGCAAGTTATTTAATTCAACATTTCCCTTCTCACCAAAGGGTCTGTACAAGTCATCATAACAAAACATAAAGATATAAAAACTTCTTCTCACTTCTTGAGTTAAAAATGGAGTGTATGGTGATTAACATAACATAATAATAATTTTTAAAATGCAAAAAAAATAAAAATGAAAAAAACAACAACACCCCAATTCTCAAAAAAATTTGATAATTTCATGATAGTCTGATCTTTGATAGATGAGTCAATAAATAAGACACTGAATTTTGAGGTATTATGCTCAGACTAAGTAAGAATAAGAAACAAGCCCCTATTTTAAAATTAACATGATACAGAGTGATTTATTGTGTTTAGACTTGCCATTCAAGTAATTTATTTAAGGTCTGAATATATAATGTCATTCTATTTTTGGGGAACTTGGTCTTCTCATTTGCATTTAGGAGAGCATAACTAAATATATAACCTTTTATTTTCTTTTGAAACAGAGGGAAGATGGGGCAGAATGGGCAAGAACCTGTAAAACAGCCAGGAGTAGGAGTGGGACTAGCAGACCCGGAAGGTAAGTTAAAATTTACAGTACTGGATTTTGGTTGAATCTACATGTTACACTACAAGTGTTTGATTTGTTTCTCTTTGAATATAAATGCAAATTTCTACATGCTAATGGCAACACCCTGGGAAGTACAGCACCATTGTGTTACCTAGTAGATTAGAATTATTTTGTAATTTCATTTAACAATTTCCCAATTTCTTGATTTATATTTAACATTTAAGTACTTAGGGGTACCAAAAAGTTAAACAAGAAAGAAGAGTGAGAAGGATGACAGGAGAGAGAATCAGAAGACTTGCTCAGTAAAAAACAAATATTTTGTTGAGATTTTTAAAATTTTTTGTTAAAATACCATGCAAATAGAAAATAAATCATGAAACATCACTTAAAATGGAAAATCTTAAATTTTTGTTAAAATACCATGCAAACAGAAAATAAATCATGAGGGGCGCCTGGGTGGCTCAGTCGTTAAGCGTCTGCCTTCAGCTCAGGTCATGGTCCAGGGTCCTGGGATCGAGCCCCGCATCGGGCTCCCTGCTCGGCGGGAAGCCTGCTTCTCCCACTCCCCCTGCTTGTGTTCCCTCTCTCGCTGTGTCTCTCTCTGTCAAATAAATAAAATCTTAAAAAAAAAAAAAAGAAAAGAAATCATGAAATATCACTTAAAATGGAAAATCTTAAATGTATGGAGCTCAGAAGAAACTAATGGTATAAAAATCATTTTATAGGAAAAAAATGACTAAAGTAACTTCTAAAGTGAAAACCCAGTTTGAACTTAAATTTGGTTTTGTTAAACAAATGGTAAATGTATTACAAAATGCAAGAAAATCTTTAACTTCAGCAGACACATATTCAGTATCTGTAAGGTGTGCAATGACTAGCTTATCTGTCATAATATTGTGATAAGATCTGACAGCACTGTTATCCCCCTTGGAATGCACAACCTCTCAGTAATTTCAACTATCTTAATTACTTTATACTATTCTAAGTACTTTTCGTGTATTATCTCATTTAATTCTTAAAATTACCTATAAAGGTAAATAATGCCATATACCAGTTTTACATGAGAAGAAACTGAGGTGCAAATATCACACAAGATAAGAGCAAGTAACTTGAACCCAAGCAAATGATGCCAAATCACCTGCTATGAAAAAGAATGATTAATGGCACAGTATCACAAAGACACTAGATGAAGAAATAGGAAACCCAGATTTGGATTTCAAATCTGGTCCTGTTACCTAACTGGTGAGCTGATCTGTCTTCAGAAACCTCATCTGGCAAATGCTGGATGCTAATGATGCCAAGGTTCCTTGTGGATTAGTAGATACCACATTCTTCTGATTCAACTAAAAGTTTTTCTTTAATTCATTCAAAGACTGTGTTTTCTTTATCTGCTGCCTTTTTCCCCAGGGTTCCACCTTCAATCTACCAACCATTTTACACACCCTCTCTCTGCATAAACTCAGCAATTCTCATCTGTATGTTGATTAGTTCCAAATTTACCCTCCAAACTCCCTGGAATTCAGCCTCCAGTAGTTCATGTCTGCCAGGCGTCCAACCAAGAAAATGGAAACCACTCTGAATATTTAAAATAGAGGAAGCTGATGGCTGGCAATGATTATATACTCATGGTATCCCTGAGAAACTGAGCAGGTGGCAGTGAAATAGCAGAACTTGTGAGGTGGCAGAAGGAAGTGACTGTCCTGAGAGCTGAAACCAGGGCAAGCCTGAATTGCGGGCAGCAGGAGACAAGGAAGAGAAACAATAAATGCTAGAAATACATCTGGAGATAGACGAGGATGGGGAGAAATATCCTGGTTACTTCCTTCTTCCCATTCTCCAATCTCTGTCAATGCCTGATCAATCCCGCTGGAAGCCAACTGCCAGGGGAGCCTGGGAAGCAGCCAAGGGGACAGCTACCCTGATAGGAGAGCAGAGGGAAGCCGGAGAACGAACCGAAGGGCCCAGAGGTGTAGGGCCAGTGCTACATTTTGCCTCGAGATCCCATAGATGAATCAGATTACATGTGTCCTGAACTTAATTCACCCTCTTTCAGATTTTGCCTCCTTCTCCTCCTATGCTCTTCTACCACTAGCCAGATCTGCTCCTGTCTGCTCCTCTCTGCACTACAATTTGCATATTTTGTTATCATTGTTCTTTGACTTGAATTTACCTGTTTTTATGCCTGTCTCCTCCATTAAGTTGAACATTTAGACTAGAGCTATGGTTTAGTCATCCTGGTGGCCCAGCACTTAGCAGAAAGCCTTACCCATAGAGTCACTTCCAGAATGTTTGTTGAACTTCTATATGCCATCCATCAGGGACTTTGGTTAATATTGAATCGGATCTTTTCAAGCAGCAAGAGCACGGGGGTGGGGGGGGGCAGAAATCGGATGGGGAGATGAACCATGAGAGACTATGGATTCTGAGAAACAAACTGAGGGTTCTAGAGGGGAGGGGGGTGGGGGTATGGGTTAGCCTGGTGATGGGTATTAAAGAGGGCACGTACTGCATGGAGCACTGGGTGTTATACGCAAACAATGAATCATGGAACACTACATCAAAAACTAATGATGTAATGTATGGTGATAAACGTAACATAAAAAAAAAAGCACAGTACAATATTCCATTGATTATTTTCTCTTGTAATTTCTCTCATGGTTTTTAAATCATTTCCTTTGAATACATAAAGCTTTTCATATTTTTGGTTTAAAAAAAGAAGAACGTTTGTTGAGTGAATGAATAAATGATATAATAATATATGAAAATAATGCCCACTGATTTTCATATGACTTTAGAATTCAGGTAATTAGAGAAGCAATTCATGTGTACTTTTTTCAAAGTTGAATTACTTAATTTTACTTTTAATTTTAAAGTTTATAAATTATTTTATTATAAATGTTAATAACTGTCAATGAATAAAAATTGTTCATCCTAATACTGCCTTTCCCATCAGTCCCACAAGAAGGAGCCAGTCATAAGCTGTTTTATATTTTACTTAAACTTATGAGTCAGTATATTTATATTTTAGTGAACTGACTCTTATCAATAGTTAATCTCAGATTAGTTATTGAGCAGAGAGGGCTGGAGGTTGAGGATGGGGATAAGATGGAATACATAATCTAATGTGAATCATTTATAATTATGTGCCCTTTTAGTAACAATATTTTGGATAGATTATTTTTGACTGAGCTACTTCTGAAATTTGGACAATAAGCAAATTTATAATTTACATATCTGTATGAAGTTGGGCATGAAGATGTCCAACTATAAGAGATATATAAGAGATTGCTAATAATATGGAGAAGAAATCTGTAATAAGTATTTAACCTTACAAACAATTTTAAATTTAAAAGAATACATAGAGGGGCGCCTGGGTGGCTCATTCAGTTAAGGGTCTGACTCTTGGTTTCCACTCAAGTCATGAACTTAGGGTCATGAAATCGAGCCCTATGTCAGGTTCCGCGTTCAGTGGGGAGTCTGCTTGAGATTCTCTCTATCCCTCTGCCCCTCCCCCCACCCCATGCGCATGCTCTCTCTCTCTCTCTCAAAATAAATAACTCTTTAAAAAAAAAGAATACATAGAGAGTGGGGAGAAAATTATTAAACTATACAGGAATTTAATTACTCTAAGCAGATAAGAAGAAAACGTACAAGATTTTGCTTTGTCCCCATAGAAATATAGAATCAACTCTGTGCTGTAATTCAGGTATATTTATGATATACATTTTATTTTGAGTGATCCAGAGGATTGCTTTCATTTCCTTTTGTTGTCAGTCAACATGTATAGCCAATTTGTGGGAGAACAACAAACAAACAAACAAACAAAGCAGAGTTAGTTCAGTTTAGTTTTAGACCTAATATTTAGTTTCTTGACTGGATTTTTTTTCTCCTTTAAATTCTTCATCAGGACACCAGAAAAATTGTCACTTAGTAAGATTTTCTTGAGTGTTCTACTACCCCTTGAGTCTTTCATATTACCCATTTAAGCACTTTGTTTTATGCACACCTTGGTCCACTCTAAGGAAAACTGATCTACATAGATATGCATACTTTAAATCAGAGTATATCATAGATTTTAAGTAATCACCTTTGGACAGTTTGTTTTTACAGCATTTTTATTCTTGTTTTGGAATTACAGTGTACAGAATACAAAAAGTCATGTTTTATGGCGTTGAAATTTTATGTGGAGCATGTTACAGATATTTTTTTAATGCTAGTCATGTCCTTGTTCTACTTACTGAGTAAATCTATTTATTCTGCATTCTGATTTTTTTAAAAATCATTTTCAACTTAGTCATTTTCTCCAATAATGTTGCATTTTCCCTATCGCAGTTGCTCATAAATTTTAATCTCATGCTGATTAATCTCATGCCTAGTGGATCAGAATATGAGATCAACCAAAGGTTCTAGAGTTCCAACCTAAGTTGTAGTAAAAAAATGGTAATACTCCTGTGGACTGTCTCTGCTAATGACTGGTTGAACTTTCACAATTTAAATAAGTGCACAACGTAAAGTGCAAATAAACACGGTGTTTGACACATGATTAACATCCCTTACATTGTAGCTGTAATTAAATTAAAAGTTAATATAAGGGCACCCGGGTGGCTCAGTCGGTTCAGGGTATGACTTCGGCTCAGGTCATGATCCTGGGGTCCTGGGATGGAGCCCCGCTTCGGGCTCCCTGCTCAGCAGGGAGTCTGCTTGTCCTTCCCCAGACACCCACCCCGCCCCACCCCACCTGACTCCACCCCCGGCTCCTGCTCTTTCTAGCTCTCTCTCAAATGAATAAGTAAATAAAATCTTTTTAAAAAATAAATAAAATAAATACAAGTGAATATAAAAGAGAGCCATATGGATTTCATCCAAGAGTGATATTAGTGAAGACTGACAAAATATCATGCACTATTCGGAAGAGATATGCAAGACCACTCCTCTTAAAAATTTAGATCAAATCAATTAGCCTTCCCAATTGTAATGACAAGTGTTTTCCCAATTTACATTAAAACCCT